GCCACGATGTGGTTGCTGGGAACAGAACTCAGAACCTCTGGAGGAGCAGTCAGTGCTCTTAACCTCTGAGCCATCTCTCCAGCCCCAAGTAACCACTTTTTAAAAAGTTTTTTCCCCTTAATGTGTATGGGTATGTTACCTGCATGTCTGTGCATCATGTGTGTACTTGGTGCCTGAGTAGGCTAGAAGATGGGGGTAGATTCCTAAAGCTAGAAGTAGAGTTGTGAGCCACCAGGTGGAATTGAACCTAGGTACTCTGGAAGAGCAACCAGTGTTTTTAACTACAGAGCCATCTCTTCAGGCCTGGAATCAGCTACTTTTTTAGGGTAGGGGAATGGCTAGATCACATGTACACCGTTTAGTGATCACTCTGACTGCTGTGTGGAACATGACCTGGAGGAAGGCAGAAGAAAGAGTGTCATGGCCAGTCCAGCCGTGGCTATCAAATAGACCTGAAAGAAAGGTAATGGTAACTGGAAATTGGTGGCGCACGTCTTTGATCCCAATGCTTGGGAGGCAGAGGCAGGCGGATCTATGTGAGTTCGAGGCCAGCCTGGTCTACAGAGCGAGTTCCAGGACAGCCTCCAAAGCTACACAGAGAAACCTTGTCTTGAAAAAAAGAAAGAAAGAAAGGAAGAAAGGAAGAAAGAAAGAAAGAAAGGTAATGGTAGACAGACACCCAGGACACTCTGGGTTCACTTCAAGAATGAACAATTTGCCTGGCATGGTGGCACAAGCCTTTAATCCTAGCAATTGGGAGGCAGAGGCAGGCGGATCTCTACGAGCTGGAGGCCAGTCTAATCTACAAAGCAAGTTCCAGGTCAGCCAGGGCTATACATAGAAACCCTGTCTCAAAAATAAGCAAAGGAAAAGATGAACACTTTGTTTTTCCCACCACTGCTTATACATTGTTTCTTTGGCTGTAGAGATTGCATTGAAGCAGAGCTTGAACAAACTGCTGTGGAATAATAATCCTTCTGTACACTGTGTGAATATATGCTGCTATGATTGGTTCAATAAAGATGTTGATTGACCAGTAGCTGAACAGGATAAAGTTAAGCGGGGGAACCAAACTAAGAATGAGGGGATGAGGAAGGGCAAAGTCAGAGGCATTGCCAGCTAGATGCAGAATGAGTCTGACACAAAATGGGACTGAGGTAAAAGCCACCAGCCTCGGGCCACCACATGGATTAATAGAAATGAGCTAAATAGTAAGAGCTAGTTAGTAATAAGCCTGAGCTATCAGCCAAGCATTTGTAATTAATATAAGCCTCAGTGTGTTTATTTGGGAGCAGTTGAAGGACATGGAAATTTTCACCTACAACAAACGACATCTATATTCCTCTTAGATTAGTTCTTCTTTCTGCACCCCCTGCCCTTGTGACTTTGTTTTGCTCCAGAGGACATTCCTCTTCTGATTTTATCTGTGCTTGCAGTTTCCCTAAGTCATGCAGTCATGGGGCCACATCTGGGTCAGGAGAACCTCAAACCACCTGGACTCCAGCAAGAGAGTCCAGAAGATGGGAGGTTGGAGCAAGAGGCATGTGCTATAGGGTAGCAGTGTCACCCAAGCCTGGAATGGTGGTATTGGTGCAAAGTGGCTTTAGTATTCATAAACAGATACACGAGACGATTTGCATGCTGAGGAAGTTAGATCTCATTCAATATGTTTGGCTTGGGTAGCTTGGATGTCGATGCCTTCCCTTAGTGCTTAACCTGGAACAAAGGTGTGCAGATGCAATGTTAGTCTGGAACTAGTCAGAGATGTGTAGGAACTGCTATGTCTGTGTCTTAGTCACTGGCCCATTCCTGTGAAGGGACACCATGCCCGAGGCAACTCCTATGAAAGAAAGCATTTAACTGGGGACTTGCTTACCGTTTCAGAGGATTAGTCCATTATCATCATAGTGGGGAGGATGGTGCTGGAGCAGTAGCTAACAGCTACATCCTGATCCATATGAAGAGAGAGAGACAGACAGAGACTGGGCCTGGCATGGGCTTTTGAAACCTCAAAGCCCACCCCCAGTGACACACTTCCTCCTGCAAGGCCATCTCTCTCTCTCTCTCCTTTTTTTTTGGGGGGGGGTTGCTGTTTCAAGACAAGGTTTCTTTGTGTAACAGCCTTGGCTGTCTTGGAACTCAGTCTGTAGACCAGGCTGGCCTAGAACTCACAGAGATCCACCTGCCTCTGCCTCCCAAGTACTGGGATCAAAGGCGTGCGCCACCTAAGCCCTGGTGGAGGGCACATCTCTCAATCCTTATAATCCTTTCAAAAATTGCCACTTCCTGGTGACTAACCATTCAAATCCATGAACCTGTGGGGGCCATTCGTATCCCATCACATTATGGTAAACATGCAGCGGAGACTTCAGAGGGAAGGCGGGTGTCTGTCGGCAGAAGGAGGAGAGGTCTGGGCTGGGTGAGAATATGGGAAATGCTGAAGGGAGCGGGGAAGCACCTTGGCCTAAGCACCGCCATTTTGACTTCAGACTCCGTTTTACCTGTAGGGTGAAATAAAGTTCAGGTTCCCAAGCCCTAGGGAACTAATAGCTGATCCACTGCCCCCTAAACCACAGATGTGCCATTATGAGTCTTTAGTTCTCCAGAAGCAGGCTGTTCTTCACAACAGAAGGAACAAACGAATCTTACTGGTTGGGTGGAAAGGCTTGTGTTGTCAGTCAGTTCACAATGACGGAACACACAAGGAGAGGCCCTAGCCTTTGATTGTTGATGATGAAAGTTGTGACTGAAACTTGGCAACGGATGTTTGTGAATTTTATGCTTGTAAACCTGGCTTCTGCCCCTGCTGGGGCTGTCAGGAGAAACAAGGCTCCCAAGTCCTTGTCCTGCAGCCCTGAGGGACAGCGGCCCTCTTATGTGGTGATTTAATAAAATCTTTGGAACCTGTAAGTGTTGTCTCTCTCCTTCTTCTTGGTGCATAACAGGTTAGGTGTAACAATGTTAGCAACTGTATGGCCCATGGCCACTCCTGTCCTCAGACACCCACAGTGTGGCCCATGGTCACTCCTGTCCTCAGACACCCACAGTGTGGCCCATGGTCACTCCTGTCCCCTCAGACACCCACAGTGTGGCCCATGGTCACTCCTGTCCTCAGACACCCACAGTGTGGTCCATGGTCACTCCTGTCCTCAGACACCCACAGTGTGGTCCATGGTCACTCCTGTCCTCAGACACCCACAGTGTGGTCCATGGTCACTCCTGTCCTCAGACACCCACAGTGTGGCCCATGGTCACTCCTGTCCTCAGACACCCACAGTGTGGCCCATGGTCACTCCTGTCCTCAGACACCCACAGTGTGGCCCATGGTCACTCCTGTCCTCAGACACCCACAGTGTGGCCCATAGTCACTCCTGTCCTCAGACACCCACAGTGTGGCCCATGGTCACTCCTGTCCTCAGACACCCACAGTGTGGTCCATGGTCACTCCTGTCCCCTCAGACACCCACAGTGTGGCCCATGGCCACTCCTGTCCTCAGACACCCACAGTGTGGCCCATGGTCACTCCTGTCCTCAGACACCCACAGTGTGGCCCATGGTCACTCCTGTCCTCAGACACCCACAGTGTGGCCCATAGTCACTCCTGTCCTCAGACACCCACAGTGTGGTCCATGGTCACTCCTGTCCTCAGATACCCACAGTGTGGCCCATGGTCACTCCTGTCCTCAGACACCCACAGTGTGGCCCATAGTCACTCCTGTCCTCAGACACCCACAGTGTGGTCCATGGTCACTCCTGTCCTCAGACACCCACAGTGTGGCCCATGGTCACTCCTGTCCTCAGACACCCACAGTGTGGCCCATGGTCACTCCTGTCCTCAGACACCCACAGTGTGGTCCATGGTCACTCCTGTCCTCAGACACCCACAGTGTGGCCCATGGTCACTCCTGTCCTCAGACACCCACAGTGTGGCCCATGGTCACTCCTGTCCCCTCAGACACCCACAGTGTGGCCCATGGTCACTCCTGTCCTCAGACACCCACAGTGTGGCCCATGGTCACTCCTGTCCTCAGACACCCACAGTGTGGCCCATGGTCACTCCTGTCCCCTCAGACACCCACAGTGTGGCCCATGGTCACTCCTGTCCTCAGACATCTATGTTTCAGCCCAGGCCTTCTCTGCCACAGTGAGCCAGATACACAGCCACTGCGGTTCAAAGTCCAGGAAGTAAGCACACTGCAAAGATATGCTCAGGCGTGTGGGACAAGAATCCATCCCTTTGTGGGATCGACACAGCTTCTCTCAAATTGTCACTAAAGGAAGGGCTGTGTTTGTCCACCTGTCAAAACACAGTGGCCCTACTCTTGCTGTAGGACAGGCCGTGCAGTCTGAATGGCTTTCCAGTGCCTTTTCCGTAGAAGACACACACCATCCTCATCCTGGGGTGAGGCAGAGCCAGACCAGTGCTGCTTTAGCTGGAGGCACACTGGCCCTTGCTTCCCCCCAGGCTCTTTATCATCTCAGTTCTGTTGTTTTTAGAGACAGGGTTTCTCTGTGGCTTTGGAGGCTGTCCTGGAACTCGCTCTGTAGCCCAGGCTGGCCTCGAACTCACAGAGATCCGCCTGCCTCTCCCTCCTGAGTGCTGGGATTAAAGGTGTGCGCCACCAACCCCTGGCTCTTTATCATCTCTTAACAGCTCACTTAGTGGGTTTGTTGGTAATGTAATCCCATCTAAATTTTCCACTGCTTACATTTTTGCTAACTTTTTTTTTTTTTTTTTTTTTTTGGCGTGGTATTACTATATAGCCCAGTCCGGCCTTGAATTTGTGATTCTTCTGCCTAAATCTCCCAAGTGCTGGGGTTATAGTTATGTGCCCCTAAGCCCTGCCTCATGCCAGCTGAATCTAATTTTGTCAGTCTTTTTCTTGTCCCTAAACAGACAACAGTGACGTTCTAGGTTAGCCTGATTCTGCTTAGCTATTTCCAATGACTTTGGCAGTTTTAATTTGTCAGTTTCCCCAACAGCTGGGGGTGTAAGGGAGGGACTCCAGAGGGCTGGCCCATGTCTGGCGTGTAGAGGAGCCTCGCTACCAGGCTTCCTGTTTCTTCACATCTGTGAAGACCTGGCAAAGACATAGCAAAACTCTCTTCCTCACTAGGCTCGCACCCTGACAGACACACCTGTGCACGAAGCAGAGCGAAGAAGGGCTGGCCAGAGGTAAGGGCGTGCTCGGCTTCGTTCTCTCACGGAGCTGGAAGGGGCAGCCAACATGGCGCCCATGCGCCGGAATGTCCGGGATGCGGCTCTGCGTCCCTAGCTGTGGCCCAGCTAAGCTGTGGCCCAGCTCTCTCGAGTTGCTCTCAGAACAGATTGGGATCAGTGATTTCCCGCTGGAATCATAGCTTCAAAAGGTCAAGCAGTAAGCCACAGGCATCTTTGCCTGCCCACCCAGGCAGTGCGGTATGAGCTGAACGCGAGAGAGGTCAGGGAGGCAATGGCTGAGAGAGACGGCAGAGGCTGAGAGAGACGGCAGAAGACGGCTGGGCCGGGGGCAGTGGTGGAGAGGTGAAGCTGGGAAGAGAAAAGGCAGAAACAGTTATGGAGAGGAGGAGAGAGCAGAAGGAATCAGCAGGTGTTGAGTATGGAGGAGGCATAAGAAACGAGAGAGAAAACCAGGAGGCACTACCATTTTTCTAAAATCGTCACAGAGGATCATACAATCAAGAGCAATTTAAACCATGTGATTTCTGCAGACTCCTCCAACGCTTTTGTGTTTATGTGAGCTCTTTAACTCTTGTCTTCTGTGAAGTTTTGGGAGTTTGGCTTGAATTTTGTTTTTGCGGTCTTGCTGTGCTGCCTGGGCTGGCCTTACTGGCCTGGGCTGTTTTGCCCCAGCTTCCTCAGTAGCTGGGACCAAGGCACCTGCCACGAAGCCTGGATTGAGATTTAGGATGTTTGAAATGTCGAAGGGAACTCTGCTGTATTTATCCTGAGTTAGGAAATGGGGTAGTGAGATTCTCAGAAAGTATTAAGACTGAACTCTACACCTCCGGAGTGCTGTAAAAGGATACTTTGCTGGTAGACATGCTGTCAAAACAGGTGATTCTAAGAGAATTGGTCTTGGCTATAGACCCTGGTGTTCTCAGTGGGAACTGGGCATGAGTAGGACTCTGTTTCTCAAGAGGGGGTGAGCTATCCAACTCTAGACCCCTAGGGGCCTCCACACCCTCATACCCTTCTCATCTCTTAGCATGGTCTTGAAGTCCGCTGTGCCCCTGAATATTCTTCAGTTCACAGACTTATTCCCGGAGAGAGGTCCCCTGAGGTTCAGCCTGATCCTTCAAAATAGAAAAGTTCCATTTTGATAATTCAAAGACTCTACTGGCTGGAATAGCACTTTCCAAGTGTCCCAATCTTGTAAGACACAGTGGAGTTTTTTCTGTTGTTGTTTTTGTTTTGTTGTTTTTGTTTTGGCGGGCAAGGCCAGGAGAGGAGTCTGATGAGAGAGACCACCGCTATTTCTTGTTCTGACGATTTCTGGTGCTGTCTCAGATTCTGTAGGCTGATACAAAATGGCCGCCCTGCAGGGCTGATGGAAGAGCCCCAGAGGAGTTCGATACTCAGGGACACTTCCTATTCAGTCTCGGCCACTCACAGGAGAGACCTGCCTCTCATCACAAACGCTCCCCTACCATCACCCAGGTCTAAGCAGAGACTCGAAGCGGCCTTGGTTCTTGCTGTTCTTGGTCATAGGGGTGAAGTGGCAGTGGTTGGAGTTGGGTGGCCAGGTCTGGCACACTTTAGACACTAAGTAAATGTCTGTTGGATCCGATAATTTGATGGAGATGGGAAATGGGACAAGTGTGTGGAGGACGGAGATGGGTGTATGTCTGTGGGGTGAATGTTGAGTGCCCTGTTTTACAGCTCTGTGTAGGCCTTTCAGAGACAAGAAAAGGAGGGGGTACAGGGCCCCCACCCACCCTTACCCACCCAGCATGTGGGCATCTGAGGTAAAGAGAGGGTGCAGAGGTTGCAGCCACTGAACCACAAGGGTCGCTTAGAGGGTCACATCTCTAGGAAGTTTATACGAAGCTCGTCAGAGTTGAAGGGTGTGTGGTGGGAGGCACATCCCACGACTGGGCTAGAGTGGGCTGACTGGGGGATGTGAGGGGAGATAAAAGTGTCTGTGGGACCACAGACTGTCGCTGTGGTGGAGCTGTGCCCTAGGCTCGCTTCTCTGGGGAGCCTGTGAGGGTGGCAGGGACCTCAAGCCCTGTGAAAGGTGTGTGGTGTGTGTTGCTGTTCTGATAACGTCCCTTGTTGGTCCCTCTGTCTCTTTTGTGCTCCCTGCATGCCTCCCAGAACCCCTTCCTTTCTATGCCTCATCTCTATCACTTCTGACAGGCCCTCTGCGCTTTGCCTGTTGATGGGTCCTGTGAAGGGTGGATGTTGCTTTAATGACCTTTCTGAGTCCCTTTCTCCTTCCCTCCTGTCTTCTCTGGAGGCCCTTTGTTTTGTTTTGTTTCCAGAATCTACTGTTTCTCGTCCACCGTGTCGCTCTTACTCTGCAGTCAATTCCGTTCACATCCACCTTGGGTCCAGCCCATACTCTGCAACTTCATGTCAGATCAGAACCTGCGGAAGTCCTGCTGGCCTGCAGGACACCAGGCTGGATGCTTGCTTATCTTGTTTCTGGGGTAGAAAGGACTAGATCCTAGTGGCATCCAGAGAGGGGAAGAAGAGACAGGGGAACTCTAAGGGGAAGAGAACAGCATTGGCTGCAGCCCAGAGGGAGCCACCCCAGGAGCCCAGGACTGAAGCATGAACCTGGAAAGGAGAGATTCAGAAACCCAGATGTAAGCAGAGAGAGGGGGAGGGGCCACTACAGCCAGTCAGTCCCTGCAGCTTCTCCCAGGGGCGATGTACACAGGATGCTAGCATATGAGGTAGGGCGCCTCTGGGGAGGCTGAGGATGTGGGAATCAAAGGCCAGGTCTCTGGGGCGGCAGCGGAAGTTTAAAGCACCAAAGTACGCTGTGGCTGGAAACCCACAAAGCCCGGGGTGCAATGGGGTGATGCCAGGAGCTGGAGACAGCAATAGCCGTCTGCAGAATCTTGGAGTGAGGGCGAGAAAGTGGCTACCATCTGGGGAAGAGCCAGGAACGCCCATATTCCTCAAGCATCTTTACCGGGACGATGGGAATCCAGATCCCACAGAGGGAGAGCCCATATAGAGACTTTGTTTCTCTGTTAAGTCGTCGACTCCAAGGACACATTTGCTCAAAAAGGTTCTCCATCTGGGTGGGGGTGAGGGCAGTAGGAACCCTTTGGGGCTAGGCTCTCCCTACAGCTCTTGCCACCATACCCTTCCCTCAGATGCTCTGCAGGTCCCACCCCAAGCTAGCAGAGCTAATCTGTAAGCACCCCTCACGACTACAGTGACAAGTTTCTTACCCACCTTCCCCAGATGCCGCATCTCTCTCTCTCTCTCTCTCTCTCTCTCTCTCTCTCTCTCTCTCTCTCTCTCTCTCTCTCTCTGTGTGTGTGTGTGTGTGTGTGATCTTTGTCTATCCATCTGAAGCATCTATTCTATTTTAGGTTCTGGAAAATTCCTCTTTCAGCCAATAGAGGAACTGGACAGGACTGTGTCTTAGCTTCCCCCAAACCTTATTGTTGGCTCGGCCTCCAGGGCCTCCTCTGAGACTACATCCCCGTGAGGAATTATGGATCTGGGGTCCAGGTGTCCAGTGGGTAAACGAGTGAGTGTCCTGACCCGAGTTCAGTCCCCAGCACCATGTGAAGTTGAAAGAAGATAACTGACCAGCAGAGTCTCCGACATTCTCTGTCCCTCTTCCTGCTCTCTCTCATAACACAACGATAATTTAGAAAACTTGTGTATTAAAACCCAGCAGGAAACCTACCTCAGATGGTCCAGGGGCCGTGTGGAAGGGGAGTTACTACAGAGTCAGGGACAGGGCCCCGGAGACCAGCCCTTGCCTGAGGGGGGCTGACACTGAAAAGGCTGGCTTGGCGCCTCTGGAAGCAGGACGAGCCTCCCTCCATTGTGGGGCAGGACAGAGGGAGGGTGGACACACACACCACCGATGGTGGCGAACACACCGAGAACATGGAGAGTAGGGAGACACACTCCCGTCTCCTTTGGGCTTTTCCCATTGGCAGCCCCACGTGGTCCCTGAAGGCCAGGGAGCCTCCAGGACACAATCATAGCAGCCCACCCCTTTGGTGGAGTTTGGCCACAGACAATGGAGAAGAATAAGCTTCGTGGATGGAGGCGACTCTGCTCCATCCAGGTCGGGGCTGGGTGTGAATGCTCACTCAGCGACTGGCCTTCCTTCTCAGGTTCCCTCTCTCCCCTCTCCCTCCCTTCCTCACGGCTACATTTTTTTTTTTTTTTGTAGCACTGAGCTCGGAACCCAGGGCATGCTGAGCAAACCCTGTACCACTGAGCTACACCCCAGCCATCAGTGACCCATTTAAGAAATGGAGTTAAGTGCAGTAAGACTTGTCACTGAGTTACTTTCCTGTAAGCTAAGCAGGCACATTATCCCGCTTCTGCGCTGGTCTTGATGTGGCTTAACTGCTCAGGCTAGGAAGGGATTACACGAACCATCCTGTCTTAAGGTGGAAGAGGGGACACGGCTAAGAGAGTGACAACATGGCACTGGCCGAGTTCAGGGAGGGCGGGTTGCTATAGCAACACACAGCAAGGGTGAGCCAAGGGGAAAGAAAAGTCAGGCTTGGGAGAAGGAATAATACAAGAGTCTCCATGACTGTCCTGTCTCAGCAGCTCTGGACCAGATCCCTGGGGTTCACGCTGGGCTGCAATTCCTGTGTGCACGTGTGTGTACGTGCATGCCTCTGTGTGTGTGTGTGTGTGTGTGTGTGTGCGCGCGCGAGCTCGCGTGCGAAAGGGGGGTTATCAACAGTGGCTCCAGTCACCTCCAGTCCCAACTCTCCTAGCTGGCCTGTTGAGATGACTTGTCAGGCCCCAAAGACCCTCTCTCAGCTGCCTGCACCTGCTCTAGCAAGCTCTTTGTTCTCAGCTCGGCTAGCATAACCCACACTAGCTGAGAGGGACAGAGAATGCTCCTCCCCTTTCTCCTCCACCTAAGTCGTGTTTTAGGACTTGAGCATGCCTGGGTCTTCTAGAGGTTTATGAAAATGCAAGTGACTAACCCCATCCTCCAGCTTTGGATCCTTGGGTCTGGGGTGGCCATGGGTCTGTTTCTTACCAATTCAGTTTCTCACATATTTCCTGGACATGTTGCAGCAAAGAATCACTCTTCCGGCACTTGTGAGGCAAAGGCAGGCACACTTCTGTGGGTTTGAGGTCAGCCTGGTCTGCATAGTGAGTTCAGGCAAGTCACAGCCAGCAGTGAGAGTTGTTCTTCTCCTATAATGCGGTCCTTTTTCCAATGCCCACTTTTCAGCCTCAACTCTCAGCGTTATCCACAGGCGACAGTCCTTGTCTTTCTGGTGACCCAGACTTAGTAGGCTTTACACCGTTTGCCTGATACCGAGCAGGAAACGAACCTTCTGGGTGTACATTTTGCTCTGCTCGTCTCTCAGCGGTATGATCTCAAGTCCTGAGAATTTCATCTTAGAGCACGCAAGGTGGTGGTGCATGCCTGTAATCCCGATTTAGGAGATCCCGCAGGAAGGTCAGGGGTTCAAGGTTATCTTTAACAAAAACAAACAGTCAAGAGACAGACAGACAGTCGCCCCTCAGCTCTCCTGCAGTCTTAGAGAGCTGTGTCCCCTCACCAGAATCACAGTTTTGCCCTCTCAGGGATCCTTTCTGCAACCAGAATCGCTTTCTCTCCTAAAACTGTCTCCTCGTTCCAGAGCTCAGCCTACACTCCCGGACCTTCAGATACTGACCTGGCTTCGTCTCAGTCCCCATCACTTTGCCAACTTCTTAAATCGTTCTCTGTTTTCATCCACAAAGAAGTCATTCTTGGTGAGGGCACAACACTGGAAAACATCTGAAAACATGTCTGACAGGATGTGACACAGTACAGGTTGGCCTCCAGCGGTCTGTGTAGCTGAGGATGACCTTGAACTCCCGATTTCCTGCCTCTGCCATCCTCCTGTGCTGTGATTATTGGTATGCATCACCACAGCTAGTACCACTAACACACCTGGTGCTCCTAAACCCAGGGCCTCACCTATGTTAGGCAGGCACTTACTAATTGAGCCACAGTCTCCATTTTTAATTTTTTGAAAAATTTTTGTTAAAATGTTCTGGAGGAAGCACCACCTCAGCCTCCAGCATCCATATACTCAGAATCTGGAATGTTCTGGTGGAAGTTTCACCCCAAGCCCCTCCCTCACCTCTCTCTCCCCAAACCCTGCCTCATCTCAGAAAGCCAGCCAAAGATGGCTCCTCCCCCAGAGATGCTCAAGACCACTCCCACAGGTCTCTCTTCCCAGTCTCCTCTCTGGGGTGCTGGAAAATTATGTGGGAGCTTTTTACCCATTAAGCCTGGTTTTTGTTTTTTTCTAATTCGGTTTGATTTGGTTGATTTGGATTGCTGAGTAAGCAGAGGCTTATCAGGGTACAGAAACTTTTCATAAAACCTTGCCACTCTCTCCACCAAGTCTTTTTAAAATTTTTTATATTTATTTATTTATTTCATATATGGTGTTCTGCCTACATACCAGAAGAGGGCACCAGATTGAATTATAGATGGTTGTGAGTCACCATGTGGTTGCTGGGAATTAAACTCAGGACCTCTGGAAGAGCAGTCAGTGCTCTTAACCTCTGAGCCAACTCTCCAGCCCCTCTCCACCAAGTCTTAATGGCAGAGGACTTGACTAATGTGTGTGGCCCTGAGTTCCATCTCAACATAGAAAACCGTCAAAAAAACGAGCCAACCAGACTGGTGAGATGACTTAGTGGGTAAAGGTGCTTGCTGCTAAGCCTGTCATCTGTCTAGACCCCTAAGCCCCATACTGTGGGAAGAGAATGGACTCACACAGGTTGTCTGCTGCCTGCCACACAAGTGTAACATACACAATGGGTAAATGTCTAAGTAAATAAAGTAAAACGATTTTAATGGCTAACAAGCTCCCCCGCACTTCTGTAAGCAATGTGATTTGTTTGATGCCTTTTTTTTTTCTTAAGAAATTATTCTTACCAAAGCCACAGAGAAACCCTGTCTCGAAAAACCAAAAAAAAAAAATATTCTTAGCCGGGCGTTGGTGGCTCCCAGCACTTGGGAGGCAGAGGCAGGCGGATCTCTGTGAGTTCAAGGCCAGGCTGGACCGACAGCCTCCAAAACAGAGAAACCCTGTCTCGTAAAAAAAAAAAAAAAAAAAAAAAAGTTATTCTTAGACAATCTTGTGCAGGTGTACAGTGCATTCTGGTCACTCACTCTCTCCACCTTAGTATCTTTCTCCCACCCCTGTCAACTACCCTCCTCTTCCCTACAAGTCCCCTTCTCGTGTCTTTGGCTTTGTTGTTTCGTGATCCATCGAGTTTCACCAGGGCAGCCCAGAGCATGGGTCTGGAGCTACACAAGGCATGGGCAAAGCGTCAGTGGCTACACCACCGATGACCGTGACTGTCCCTCCTCCAGCGTCTGTCCACCACCCATACTCCCTCGGGGAGAGGGCGGGGCCACGGCCTCCTGAGCTCCTGCCCATCCATGACTGGGCCCAGGCTTGCATAGGCTGAGTCTTGGAGCAGCTCTGCTTTTGGCAAGCAGGCAGGAGATGCAACAAAACCCGAACAAAGGGCTAAGGACAGAGCTCTTGCCTAGCAGGTGCAAGGGGCTGGGCTGCATCCCTGGTACCACACAACAAATAAAGAAGTCAACAACACAGCCTGGTGCAAGGTCCATCTGTAAACATGTCAAATATTTGAAACTTACAGTTGTCAGGAGTGGGAGAGTGACTCAGCAATAGAACACGCCCCTGGCACGTGGTGATCTTTAAGTTCTAGGCCCACTACAGGGGCCGAGAACAAAAAAATTTTTGAAATATCAGTAAAAGTGATACAGTTTATAGGTGAAATAAAGCTATCTAGAAATGGTTTGCCAAAGTTTCTGAACCTGGACGTGTGTGTGTGTGTGTGTGTGTGTGTGTGTGTGTATGCACATTTATATATATCTATATTATTTACATGAAATGAAATTGTTAGTCTATGCTTATACTTTTTTTTTGTTTTGTTTTTTGTTTTTTGAGACAGGGTTTCTCAGTTTAGCTTTGGAACTAGCTGTTGTAGGCCAGGCTGGTCCCAAACTCACAGAGATCCCCCTGCCTCTGCCTCCCACATGCTGGGATTAAAGGCATGCGCCACCACTGCCCAGCCCATGCTTATACTTTAAATTTTTTTCATTCATTTCTTTTATGTGCATGAGTGTTTCGCTTCTAAGTGTGTCTGTGCACCATGTGTCTACCTGGTACTGTGGGACTGAGTTCCAGACAGGTCACCAGTGAGTGCTGAGAATTGGACCCAGGTCCTTTAAAAGAGCAGCCAGTGTTCTTGATGGCTGGGCCACGGCTCCAACCAATGTATATAATTTTAAAAATCCAAATCTAACCAGAACAGAGATCTAAACTAGAAAGAGATGTTTCTCTATCAGAATCTAATAGCTTTTTAAACGAACTACATGTTCAAAGCTCCAAATAATTATCAAAGCAACAAAACCCATTTATGATGTTGTCTCTCAAGACTAGATTTGTGTGTGTGCAAGTATATGTGTTGGAGTTAGCATGTGTGGGGTGTGGGTATCCATGCTAGCATGCTCCAGGGATCTCCTATCTCTGCCTCCCAGCGCTGAGCTTCCAGGTACCTTCTTGGCTTTAAGAGAGGTCTGGGGGTCCAAACTCCAGACCTCACATTTGCATGGTAAGCATCTTATTCACTGACAAGGTATTTCTTAAGCAAAGAGATCAGAATTAATTACTTTTTTGTTGTATTTGTTTTGTTTTTGAGACAGGGTTTCCCTGTGTAACTTTGGAGCCTGTCCTGGAACTCACTCTGTAGATCAGACTGACCTCGAACTCACAGAGATCCCATCTCTGACTCCTGAGTGCTGGGTTTAAAGGTGTGCACCACCACCTGGCTATAACTACTTTTGTTAAAAGACTATTGGGTTCCCCAAGTTTGAGATAGGGTCTCATATAACCCAGGTTAGCCTTGACTTTGCTATGTTGCTGAGTCTGGTCTTGAATTCTCTGTCTCTATCTCTTTTACTAAAAACTATATTTTATGTGTATGGGTGTTTGCCTGCAAGTATGTACGTGCACCACCTGCGTGCCTGGAGCCTGCTGGGGTCAGAAGAGGGCATTGCATCCCCTGGGACTGGAGTTACAGATGAAACCACCATGTGGGTGCTAGGAATTGAACCTGGGTCCTCCACAGGGAGGGACGTGTGACCTCAACTACTACATCAATTATCCAGCCCCTTTAGTTTTACTTTTTTGTTTGTTTTTCGAGACAGGGTTTCTCTGTGTAACAGCCTTGGTTTTCCTGGAATTGGCTCTGTAGTCCAGGCTGGCCTCGAACTCACAGAGATCGCCCTCCTCTGCCTCCTGAGTGCTGGGATTAAAGGCGTGCACCACCACTGCCTGACCAGTAGTTTTACTTTTGAGATATGGTCTCACTGTGTAGACCTGGCTGGTTTTGGACTCATGGTCCTCCTGCCTAAGCCTCCTAAGATTAAACATGTGTGTCTCTTTGCCAGGAGACTGGAACTCTTCGTGGGAGTGCCCGAAACTGTAGTTTGTGTTTAACACAAGTGTAACATGCTGCTATTGTTTAGGATGTGAAAATCGCACAGGCTTAATTTGGCACAGGCTTTTGTGGTACAGTACTGCAGGGTGCCTGCTTATGTGTGCAAATAAGGTTCTCAGGGCTGGTTATAAAGGTCCTGAGAGAGACAGAGAGAGAGCTCTTATGTCCTCCAGGCGCAAGGAATGCCTGAAGGCTAATGGTTTCTCCTTTCTCCTGCCCCTGCCATTTTTGCAGACTCAGATCCCCAGCGACTCAAGTCGGTCGACTTTAGCAAGGCCACAATGTACCAAGGAATCTCTTTCAGGCACTTGCTCCTGGTGCTGCAGCTGGGTAAGTTCTCAGACTTGAGACCAGCAGCAGATGGTGCGGGAGGTGGGCAGATGGGAGAACTGGAAGGGCGTGGCCCAGAGGGAGACAGCGGTAACATTGAAGCCTGACCTTTTCTGTGTAGTGCAACTGCCAGCTGTCACTCAAGGGAAGACTGTGTTGCTGGGCAGAGAAGGGAAGTCAATAGAGCTGCCTTGCGACGGTTCCCAGCGGAAGAGCGCGGTGTTCACCTGGAAGCTCTCAGACCAGACGAAGATTCTGGGAAATAATAAGCAGAGTAACTTTGTGGCTAGAGGTAGGATCCCCTAGCCCCGCACCCAGGGAGGAAAAGAGTGAGTTCAATGAATTTGCTGTCGGAAACCTGTTCCTAGGAAGTCCAATGTCCCATGGTGGCTAGGGTTGACAAAATCTCAGCGGCCCTCTATTCTGGGATTTCCTTTCTCGAGCAGTTGATGGCAAATGGCTTCTGGTAGAATCTTTTTATTGTTGTTCTTTTAACATTCATGACTTTAATGGACATTGGAAAAATCATCATATAAAGTATGTGACTTCAAGAGCATTATTACTACAGACTACAAAGATGATATGATACTTCCTTTTTTGTTTTGTTTTGTTTTGTTTTTTTGAGACAGGGTTTCTCTTCTGTATTGTTTTGGAGGCTGTCCTGGAACTAGCTCTTATAGACCAGGCTGGCCTCGAACTCACAGAGATTCGCCTGCCTCTGCCTCCCAAGTGCTGGGATTAAAGGCGTGCGCCACCAACGCCCAGCTATATGATACTTTCTTTACTCTCATTAAAAGCAACAACTAGTGATATAGAGTGCTTGCCTAGAACATCTAAGGGCCTAGGTTTGATTCTCCAGAAAAAACAAAGAAAGAAAGAAAATAAACTCAAAAAACAAAAAACAAAAGCCAAGTGGTGGTGGTATACACTTTTAATTGCTGTACTCAGGAGGTAGAGGCAGGCAGATCTGAATGAGTTTAAGGCCAGCCTGGTCTACAAAGCTAGCTCCAGGACAGCCAGAACTATGCAGAGAAACCTTGTCTCACAAAAAAACGAAACAAACAGCCAGGCGGTGGAGTTGCACACTTTTAATCCCAGCACTCTGGAGGCAGAGGCAGGTGGCTCTCTGTGAGTTCGAGTCCAGCCTGGTCTGCAAAGCTACACAGAGAAACCCTGTCTTAAAACAAACAAACAAACAAAATAACAAAGCAAACACCTCCAAAACAAAACAAACAAACCAATAAAAACAAAAAATTCCTGTGATCCTAGCATTAGGAGGCTAAGACAAGAAGGGGGTAAGTTCTAGGGTCATATACCAAGACTGTCTCAAAAATAAATAAAATTAATTTATTTAATTTTAAAAGTGAACACACTCTGAGTAAGTTCCAGGGCAGCCAGGGCTACACAGAGAAACCCTGTCTTAAAAATAAAAAACAAACAAGCAAAAGAAACAAACAAACAAAAACAAAAAAATCCCCACCAAGAACAGTAATAAAATTGAACACATTCTGAGATAGATTTGGTTAAAGTATATTCGATGTCTCTGAAAGGCTGAAGTTTGGGAAACAGCCATGGTCCAGCCTCTAGTCTTCTTGGTAGGCAGCTTGAGTGTTGGGCGGGTGCTCTAGGAAGCTGTGTTCTAGGCAATCAGATCCTGCTTGCTATCCAGACAGGCATTTTAAAGACGGCTCTATAGCCCTGGGTGTATTAATACATATGTGTTGGCTGCCAAGATGACTCAGCAGGTTAAAGGTACACTGCCACCTCTGATAACCTGAGTTTCACTTCATGACCCACGTGGTCCATGGCTTGTCTCCTGACCCCCACGTATGCTCTGTGGCACGTGTGAGTAAGCACTGTCACACACTCTCTGAATAAAGTAGTAAATGTAGTAAAAACATTAAAAATACCTGTAATTATCTGAGGAGATATGTATTTCTGTCTCAGTTCCTTTCCATAACTGCTTAATTCCTTATTCAACTCTGCTATGATTTACTTGACTAATTCCATGTTGTTGGACATTTATGCTCTTTTTAGGGAATAATTTTGTAAAGACATTTTGGGGGGGGGTTGAAGCAGGGTTTCTCTGTGTTGCCCTGCCTGTCCTGGAACTAGCTCTGTAGGCCAGGCTGGCCTCAAACTCACAGAGATTCGCCTGCCTCTGCCTCCCAAGTGCTGGGATTAAAGGGGTACAGCCTCTGCCTGAGGAGAGTGGAAGAGGATGCCAGGTTCATTGGAACTGGAGTTCAAAGAGTCAGAAGCTACCATGTGGATACTGGGGCCAGAACCTGGGTCCTTGGGTAGAGAAGTCAATGCTCTTACCTGCTAAGCCATCTCTCCAGCCCAAATATCTTATTTTATTTTGTGTGTATGTGCAAGGGCACTTGTTTAGAAACAGATATACTCAGTAATTCAGGCTGGTCCCAAACTCCCAATAATCCTCCTGCTAGGATTACAGTCATAGACCATCAGGCCTGCCTTTCAAAAAGTCTTATTTCTGTAGGCACGGTGGTACATGCTTTTAATCCTAGCATTGGTAGATCTCTGTGAGTTTGAGACCAGCCTGGTCTACATAGCAAGCTACATAGAGAATCCCTGTCTCAAAAGCAAACAAATGAAAATACATCCCCACACAAATCTTACCTCATTCCTAAAGACTAACACCCCACCCGTGTCTCTTCAGATGTCATGCAAATTTGACATGAGTGTTATGTAGTTCAATGGGTTTGAATTTCTTCAGAGACAAAAGTTCTCTTTAGCTATGAACCCATGAAACTAGACAAATTAAGTGCTTTCTAAAATAGAATGATGTTCAGGCATAGGATAGACTTTCCATCCCCAAAGAAGAAATTGAAAAGGAAGGGATTTTGGATTGAAGGAAGTCCAGACCTTGGCAGGTGAGGTCCAGCAGAGCTTGTCTTTTTTTCTTTTGGTTTTGAAACACGGTTTCTCTGTGTTTCCCTGGCTGTACTGGAACTCACTCTGTAGACCAGGCTGGCCTCAAACTCACAGATCTGCCTGCCTTTGCCTCCAGACAGTCATGTGGTGGGAGAGGCCTACACCATCACCCTTAAGCTCATTAGATCTTTTTTTTTTTCTTCAAGACAGGGTTTCTCTGTGTTGTTTTGGAGCCTGTCCTGGAACTCGATCTGTAGACCAGGCTGGCCTTGAACTCACAAAGATCCGCCTGCCTCTGCCTCCCAAGTGCTGGGACTAAAGGCGTGCGCCACCAACGCCCACCTGGGCTCATTGGATCTTAAAGGTCAACATAATCTGCTCCCGAGCTAGATTTGTGCCCAGGACTCTGCTGGGTGGAGTCTTGTCCCCATGGCAGAGGCCAGATGGCCTGCTGAAACTGAGATAATGGTTCTGCAGTGTGTGCCACCACTGCAATTTTCCAAATCTTTAAGACCGGGTCCTTTTTGCTTAGAAATCTCTTCAGCGAAATATTCTGTTATTTGCAAATTCTACCTACACAAACCAGTAGAAAATTAGCACAGTTTAGCCAAGTCTTTTGTCACTTTGTAGTAAGAACCCAGTTTCCAACATTACATGCCTCACTTCTTTGTGGACCTGAAGCCCTGTGAAATAGGCACAGAAAGAAACGGGATGCAGTGAAAGGCAGCCTTCACTCACTAAAGGCTAGAGAAGGAACAATCTAGAAAGGCAAAGACCTCTTAGATAATTACTGCACTTCAGCCAAACATCACAGGGAATCCTGCCCTGTACCCTAATGCGTGCCAACACTGAGCAAGGAGGCACACTTCCTCCTTTTGAGAGTGGAATGGAGTGTCCAAACACCTCTACTGGGACAGTGCCCTAGAAGGTGAAGTTGAGAGCTCTGTTCATCAATGCCAGCCTGCCACAGGCTCTGACAATATTAGTGGAAAGTGTTAGAAGAGCCTGGGTACTCAGCCAAGAACACCACTTCCTGCCGGAGTGGTGTCAGAGGAGGGCCTGGTGGACAGGTAGACCTTCCATCATCGACCAGCATCAATGAGACCACCAGAGTGCAGGCTGGCGTGTCTGCTTAGCCCAGTAGTAATGAGGGGCATGCCCCTCCGGGGTCAACAGATGATGGGAGCAACTTGGATTTCTGCCTCCACTTGCAGCAATAAGGAGGTAACCCACATTCCCTGAACAAATATCATCCAAAGAAGTCAGTTAAAATGAAACGTTTAAGTTCGAGGCCGGGCTGGACTGACAGCCTCCAAAGCAATACAGGGAAACCCTGTCTCATAAAACCAAAAAAAAAAAAAAAAAAAAAAAAAGAAACGTTTAATACAAGCTACAAATCTTTTTTTTTTATTTTGGTTTTTTGAGATAGGGTCTCTCTGTGTAACTGTGGTTATCTTGGAATTTGCTATAGTGATCAGACTGACCACAAACTCACAGAGCTGAGCCTGCCTCTGCCTCCCAAGTGCTGGGATCAAAGCTTGTGCCAGCACACCCAGAATAATACAAACTCTTAAAGAAACCAGCAACAAAGTACTTACAACACTGAACTCAAATCTCTAAACATCCAAACTGCCTTTCTCCCTTGCCTCCTCCCTCCCTTCCTTGTTTCTCCTTCCCTTCTTACACGCGCGCACGCGCACACACACACACACACACACACACACACACACACACACACACACACACACACACTGATTTGTTTTTAAATGTTCAGTCAAACCCTAGGAAGGCAGAAAACAGAATACTGAAACATGGGGCCGAAGGATGTAGCTTGGCTGGAAGAGTGCCTGCCTGGCACACAGGAAACCCTGGGACAGACCCCTGGCATCCTATAGGCTGGGCCTGAGAGGCTTATAACACCGGGACTTGGGATATGGAGCAAAGCGATCAGAAGTCCAAAGTTATTCTTAGCTACATAAGGAGTCTGGGGCCAGCCTGGGGTACCGTACACCATATTGCAAAACAAACCAAACAGAAAAATAAAGAAACAAAACAAAGTAACAGGCACAAGCTCTAATATGTCAACAATTACATTAGGTATAAATGGTTTTCACACATTACAATAGTCTACATGCATTGTAACAGTCTGCACAGGTAACAATCTACACACATTGTGACAGTGTTCACACATTTTTAACAGTCTGTATACATTGTAACAGTCTATACACATTATAACAATCTACATATGTTGTAACTGTATATACACATTGTAACAGTCTGTACATATTATAATAGTCTATAGATATTATAATGGTCTACACCACATAGTAGTTTGCATACATTATTATTATTATCTATTGTAAGACAAAGTCTCACTATGTAGCCCAAGCTGGCCTGGAATTCACCATGTAGACCAGTCTGGACTTGATCTCACAGAAATCCTCCCTGCCTCTGCCTCCTGAGTGTTGGGATTAAAGTTATGTGACACTACTCATGACTGTTATTTCTATTCATGTATTTGCTTATTTGGGGCTGTGTTGGACATTTTAAGCTAGGGTTTCCCATGTAAGGCAAGTGCTTTACCACTGAGTTTCATTTCCAGCCTCCAAACCTTTATTAACAGAGAGCTTCAATGGCAGGCTGCAGCTCAGTGGTGGAGTGAAGCCCTAGGTTCAACACACAGTACTTCCAAAAAGGGAGGAAGGAACAGTAGATAATATTCTTGAAATTCCAGATTATAGCAATAGCAAGAGCTCAAAGAAAAGAAAGAAAGAAAGAAAGAAAGAAAGAAAGAAAGAAAGAAAGAAAGAAAGAAAGAAAGAAAGAAAGGAAAGAAAAGAAAAAACAAAATGCTGGGTGATGGTGGCATATGCCTTTAATCCCAGCACTAGGGAGGCAGAGGCAGGTGGATCTCTGTGAGTTCAAGGTCACCCTGGTCTACAAGAGCGAGTTCCAGGACAGCCTCCAAAGTCACAGAGAAACCATGTCTCAAAAACAAAACAAAACAAAACAAAAAAGAGTAGCTACGGTCATGGTGTCTCTTCACAGCAATAGAACTAGGACAATAACAATCATCATTTTCTGTTTTTTGAGACAAGGTCTCATTTGGTAGCCCAAACTGTTTTTGAACCTACAGTAATTCACCTGCCTCAGGCTCTCAAATGCTAGAAATATAGGTATGAGCCATCATTCCTGATGCTATTACTGTTTTACCTGATATAACATGATATTTAATAATATTATAATTATGATTTTTATTTCTTTTTTTTTTTTTTTTTGGTTTTCGAGACAGGGTTTCTCTGTATTGTCTTGGAAGCTGTCCTGGAACTCGCTCTGTAGACCAGGCTGGCTTCCAACTCACAGAGATCCGCCTGCCTCTGCCTCCCGAGTGCTGGGATTAAAGGCGTGCGCCACCAACGCCGGCTTATGATTTTTATTTCAAGGTAAGGTCATACCATATGGTCCTACTAGCCTCCATTGCCCCATGTCCCAAAGTAGCCTAGGCTGGCCTTGAACTTGTGATGCTCCTGCACAGCCTTCCAGATGCGGGGACTCCAGAAGTGCACCACCATACCCAGCTAATTATGACTTCTGTACCTAAATTTTGGTTTGCATTTAAAAAGCATTATGTTTTAAATGTTTATCTGTTATCATCATCATCGTGTATGTGTGTGTATTTGTGTATGCGGACGCTGTGAGAGTCACTGCACATATGTTGAGGTCAGAGGGCAACTTTTGGGAGCCTGTTCTCTTCTCCTCCTGTGGGTTTCAGGGATTGAACTTGGGTAGTGAGGCTCGTGTGTCAAATGCTTCTACCTGCTGAACCCTGAAATCAGTTTGTTGTTTTTGTCAGTGCAGGCCAGGCTTGCTGGCCTGCGGCTCCCACACATTTTGCCATCTCTGCCTCCTCTCTTGGTGTAGGAGCACTGGGATTTATAGACATGGGAATCCTAACTCTATCCAATCCAAGCTCAGGAGGTTACACTGGGCCTCGCATCTGAGTCTTTCTTAGGCCCAACACTTCTTAGCTTTTTTTTTTTCTCCTTCTAATTTGATAGTTTAAAACTATGGCATTGTTTTAATTTTAATTTGTGAGATTAAAACACTTTCTAAAATTCCTAGTCTTTTGTGTTAATGTTTTAGTTCTGTTTCTGTGATCTGATTTTTTTTTCTTTTTTCTTTTTTTTTTGGTTTTTCGAGGCAAGATTTTCTCTGTATTGTTTTGGAGGCTGTCCTAGGTGGCCTTGAACTCACAGAGATCCGCCTGCCTCTGCCTCCCGAGTGCTAGGACTAAAGGTGTGCACCACCGCCGCCGAGCTTCCACCTCATTTCTTTAAGACAAGATTTCTCAAAAACTCCCCCCAAAGGTTGTTTTTATTTATCACCATGGGGGGGGGTAGGTTGTGTTCAGAGGGCAACTTGTGGGGGTTTGTTCTCTCCTACCATGTAGGTCCTGGGGATTGAACTAAGGTCATCAAAGTTGAAGGTTTTACTAACTGAAACATCTTCAGGTAATTTTTTTAGTCAGGGTCTCATTGCATAGCCTACCCTTGAACTCTCGACCCTCCTTCCTTAGCCTACGGAGGCCTGGTTGGGTTACAGGTGTGCACCAGCACACAAGACTGAACTGTGGTTGATTTAGCCATCCTTTGGGAGAGGTACTTATTTTGGAATGTCCATTAATAATTCTGGCTGACATGACAAATTACTAAGATGTTTGAGTTTGAGCAATCGTTTCAACTCTCAGCAACAGTGCCCATGTCTGCATGGGAGGCAAAGCAGTCTGCGTGTCCTGGAATCAGTGTGAAGGTTACTGGAGATGGTGCATGTCAAGTGTTTGGCCTGTAAGAGCAGGTGCTCTCCAAATGAGCACATTGTTTTATAATTTTTTTTGAGCTAGTGGGATGATGTTCCCACCACATAAATAGATACGACATCAGTCTGGGGTCCCTGAGGGGTGAAGTAAGGACTCTGGAACTCAGACCAGCGGAGCTGGGGGCACTGTTCTTGGCAGGGATGCCAGGGTACCAGAGCGCCTCAGCTTCCTTGGTATGGCTTCTATTCACAGCCCAGAGTGAGCGGTTTAGCCGTTTCGACTCAAGAAAAGCTGCGTGGGACCGAGGATCATTCCCTCTCGTCATCAATAAACTTAAGGTGGAAGACTCCAACACTTACATCTGTGAGGTGGAGAACAAGAAGACAGAGGTGGAATTGTGGGTGTTCAAACGTGAGTGGGTTTGCTCTGGGACGGGCACCTCTCCTACTCCCTTCCACTCTTGTACCAAAACCTGAGCTGATGACATTTCACAGACCACAGGGGGTCAGGCTGTTCCTCTTGGTTAACTGGGGAGGGACAGAGACCGAGAGAGAAGGAAAGAAAAGGGGAGGAACCGAAGGAAGGAAGGAGACAGGGAGGAAGGCAGAGGAGGGGACCCTGACTTGCGCTGAGAATGGGCAGCGGGAGTTAGGAGGGGGGGAACGATGGAAAGACACTCTTCTTTCCTTTCTTCTTCCTTTGTCCTTGGGGATGGTGTGTGTGAGATGCAGCCATCTGCTCCCTCCACAGTGACTGTCAGTCCGGATGTCCGCCTGCTGCAGGGACAGACTCTGACGCTGCGCTTGGATAGCAGCTCTAAAGTCACTAACCCCTCAATGAAGTGCTCAGGCCCAGGGGATAGAGTTGTCACAGACTCCAGAGTCTACTCTGTGCCCAACCTAAGGATTCAGGACAGTGGCATCTGGACCTGCATCGTAACCCAGAACCAGAAAAAGGAAACAGTCAACATAGACATCTCAGTGCTGGGTAAGAGGCCCAGGAACTCCGAAGCCTGGCTCAGCTCTCGTTGGTTTTGGGAGCTGCTGGAGTGGGTCATGGGGGTGTGTGCAGACCCTTCTCTAGCTGAGGTTTGTCCTGAGGGCCTGTCCCTCTTCTGGAGCACTATGGCAACCTAGGGAGTATGCGAGAAGGAAGGTGTGTGGGGGGGGGGGGCGAGAGGCTCCAGGGACTGAGGTAGGGAAGTGGCCAAGGCACCTATTGTCCTGGTTGCTGATTTCCACTCCTACGAAGTTGACAAATCCATTTACTGAGGACCACTGACTTCAGCAAACCAGTCATGCAGACATCGGCTTTGCATCTCTATATCCCGAGCGAGGCACCATGGGAAGACCGAGAACTCCTGTGGAGTTCTTATTTAAATCCCAAACCTGCCACAACCTTTTTATTATTTGTTTTTAAGATCATAATACCATTACATCATCCTTTCCCTTCCTCTTTCCAAACCCTCCCACCCTCCCCTCCCAACCTGGCTCAGTCCACACGACTGTATGTATAATGTTGCTTGTATGCACATTTTTTCAGAGCTGACCACTTTGTGTTGTATAAACTAATTGGTGTGCTTTTCCTTGGGGGAAATTATTTCTCTGCTCTCAACATTTTTCAGTTGCCTGTAGATTTTTGTTTTTGTTTTTGTTTTTGCTTTTTTTTGTCAAAGGTTGAGGTCTCATGAGTTCTCCCCTTCCACAATAGCGTCATGTTTAGGCAGCCATGTTGGTGAGATCTTATGGGTGTGGTTTCTGACATTTGTAGGAGACATATCTCACACCAAACTCTCAGGTCCTCTGGCCCCTCCAATCTTTCCGCCCCCCTCTTCTGAAATGATTTCTGAGCCAAAGGTGCGGGAGTTGTGTTGTAGATGTGTCGTGTGGGGTGGATTCTGTACCTCCTCAGTTAAAGGTCTCCATCTATTACAAAGAAATGTTTCCTTGATGAGGAACGAGAACTACATTTATCTGTGGGAATGAGGACAAATAATTAGAATGTCGTTAGGGATTTTGCTGGTTTAGTAAAGTGATAGTAGTAGGTTGTGACAACTTAAATAAGAACGGCCCTCATAGGCTCATATATGTGAATGCTTAGTCACCAGGGAGTGGCACTATTTGAGAAGGATTAGGAGGTGTGGCCTTGTTGGAGGAAGTGTGTCCCCTGGAGTGTCTCTGCCTCTCTGCCTTTGGGTTAGAATATAGCACCCTCAGCCATAGCTCCATTTGCTGCCTATTTGCTGACAAGATTCCCTCCATGATGATAATGGACTATACCTCTGAAACTGTAATCAAGCCCCCAATTAGATGCTTTCTTTTATAAGAGTTTCCTTGGGCATGGTCTCCTCCTAGCAATAAAACACTGACTAAGACACAGGTTCTCCTCCAGTATCCATGCCTTCATCAACCCTGAGTAGTTGGTTAGGTTTCCACTACCAAGAATGATTTCCCTCTTGTTGAGTGGACAACTATATTTTGGTTTCTGCATCCATAAAACGGAGATGATGCTAACCATGACAGCACCAGCCTCCTAGTACCATAGCAAAAACTACAATTGTGCTGGGTGAAGGTGGTATACATTAATCCCAGCACTTGGCTGTCAGAGGCAAATAGATCTCTGTGAGTTCAAGGCCAGCCTGGTCTATGGAGTGAGTTCATGGAAAAAAAAGAAGAGAACTACACTGTATAGCACCTAGGCCAGTTCCTGGCATACAGCAAGCCTTATTTTCATTTTGGCTGAAGGATGGTGAGCAGATCTCAAGTCGCCCCTGGGCTCCCAAGGAGAGAGAAACGACCACCTTGGGGGGTAGACTGACCTGACCCACCATTTATTCCCTCGTCCTCTTCTCCTCTCACTCAGGGTTATTTCTGTGCCCTTCTCACCTCCAGGTTTCCAGAAGACATCTACCACAGTCTATACGAGGGACGGGGAGTCCGCGGAGTTTTCCTTCCCACTTAACTTCGGAGATGAAAACCTGCAGGGGGAGCTGAAGTGGAGGACAGAGAAGGACCCCTCCCCCAGCCCCTGGGTCACCTTTTCCCTGGAGAACAGGAAAGTGACCATGGCCAAGGACACCCGCAAGCTCCAGATGGCTGAAGAGCTCCCACTCCGCCTCAAGATACTCCAGGTCTCGCTGGAGAACGCTGGCTCTGGGAACCTGACTCTAACTCTGGCCAAAGGAACCCTGCATCAGGAAGTGACCCTGGTGGTGCTGAAATGTGAGGGGTGGGCGGAAAAGGACAGGCTGGGGTGAAAGGAAGAGGGATGGTCAGGTCCCAAAATCCCAAAAGGGGGTGCTCTGACCCTGCTTGTCTAGCTAAAGGAAGGATCTCCAGGTTTTGGTGCTGGAGACAGAAACTAGGGCCTCATGCATGCTATGCACAAACTCTATTACTGAGTGGCACCCAGTCCTGGACTGGCTTTGAATTGAATTCAGGCTGAAATCCACAAGTCCTTCCCCAGCACCTATACTCTGGTCTGGGACAGGCTCCACCGAGGCTTAGGCCACCATCAGGGTCTAGTTCTTCCTCTGCCTGTGGCCCTGGCTGAGCCCCTTCCACATCTTGGACCTTTCTCATCTTTTCTTTCTTTGTTTCTTTCCTTTCCTCCTCTTCTCTTCTCTTTTCTTTTTTGAGTCAGGGTTTCCCTGGGTAAACCTGACAGTCCTGGAACTCACTCTGTAGACCAGGCTGGCCTCAGACTCAGAGATCCGCCTGATTAAAGCTGTGCACCCTGCTGCCTTTATTTTTATTTTATTTTATGTCTGTGTGAGGTGTCAGAAGCCCTCGGAACTGGAGTTACAGACAGATGTGAGGTGCCATGCGGGTGCTGGGAACTGAACCCAGATGCTCTGGAAGAACAGCCAATGCTTTTAACTACTGAGCCATCTTTCCAGCCCTTTGAGATTTATTTTTATTTGTGTGGGCGGGCATGTGCATGGGCATGCATGCATCACACACACACACACACACACACACACACACACACAGAGAGAGAGAGAGAGAGAGAGAGAGAGAGAGAGAGAGAGAGAGAATGTGTGTTATTCTTGTCATGACAGACAGATCCTGGAGCTAGAATTATGGTAGTGAGCTGCCAGGTGGTCCCTTGGAGAGCAGCAAGCACTCTTAAGCTCTGAGCCTCCTCTCCTGCCCCATCATCTTTTTAATATGGAACAAAGTCTCTGCACACAGTAATATCAACCTTGACAACGAGTTATTTGTATCCTTAACTCATCATGGCACCAACTCCACTAATAGCAATGACTAACCCTGATATTTAGCACATGCCAGGCCCCATTCAAACATTTCGGGCATTCATACATTCCATCATTGTCGGTGCAGGTGCTTAAGCAGTTTGTCCAGGGACACACTGTGTGTCTCTGCAAACTCCAGGACATGCGCATCAAGAAGGAAATCTGGTTCAACACGACTTTGGATTCAAATCTAAGGATAGCTCACACACAGGCTGTTTCTCCCTGATAATTACATATAGGATCATTTTCCCCGTCCTGCTGAGTCCCCTTCCTGATAGCTTGGATGTACTAGGAACCCTGAGCACCAGACTCCAGAACTCTATGTCTCCTTCCTCTGCAGTGACTCAGAACAATAACATTCTGACCTGTGAAGTGAGGGGACCCACCTCCCCCAAGATGAGACTGACCCTGGTGCCGGAGAAACAGGAGGCCAGGGTCTCCAAGCAGGAGAAGGTGGTTGAAGTGCCGGACCCCGAGGCAGGGCTGTGGCGGTGTGTACTGTATGAAGCAGAAGAGGTCAAGATGAATGCTGATATCCAGGGTAAGGAGTCGATCCCTAAGGCCTCATGTTTAGCCTCGGCCTCTTCAACTGTGAAATTGTCCCAGGGATTAGTCAAGATGATCCAGAGTTCCAGCTCCCTAGTTCCTCTGACATGGAGGCATTTTGTACAGTGACCTGAAGACATAGGTCCTAGGCTCCAGGTTCCCACTTCCATACAGCCTAGGAAGAAGGCCCTTCCTGGCTAAGAGCTACTCTCCTCCATGACTTCCCTCTAAAGCTAAACAAACACGCAGGGCCTGACATCAGGGCCCTGGCTTCTAACTCCCTAGCGAACTGTGTAAGAAACAAGTTTCCCTTTCCTGTTGTCAGCTCTTCTCTCTGACCTGGGACCACGGGGAAGACTGTCCCTAGATGGAGACATTGAGTGTCTTTCATTCTTGGTAGTGCTTGGGGTGGAACCCAGGGCGTCTCTCCACCACGGCTACATCCCCAGCCACATACCTCCCCTGCCTCCTCTCTCTCAGTTTCATCCAGAGGGCTGAACCAGGACCAGCCCATGTTCCTGGCCATCGTGCTGGGGGGCACCTTCAGCTTTCTGGCCTTCATGGGGCTCTGCATCCTCTGCTGTGTCAAGTGCCGACACCAACGGGTGAGTGAGCTCCCATCATCCTCTCTGGGCCCTCAAGCACAAGACTTACACATGAGGCCGTGCAGCCTAGGACTGGCATCTGCCTTAGCCTAGGATTGGCGTCTGCCTTAGCTCTCCCGGCCCAGCCCTTACTGCAGACCAGGCCTCTGACCCCAGCTGAAGGGAGACACAAGGAGCAGAGTCACTGACAGGACAGGTGGCTTCAGCCACAGTAAATGCTTCTTTTCTGCCAGCTCCCCCTTCCCCCCCCTCCAAGGGGCACCTCCCTCCTGGAGGACTGGGACCCTCACAACTCTTCTCCTTGTCCCTGGACAGCGCCAGGCAGAACGGATGTCTCAGATCAAGAGGCTCCTGAGTGAGAAGAAGACCTGCCAGTGCTCCCAGTAAGGATCTGGGCTGAGAGGGAGGAGGGAGAGTGAGAAAAGAGGAGGGAGCGAGGGAGGAGGGGGAGAGAGGAGAGCGAAAGAAGGGAAGGAAAGCAGTGAGGGAGACAAGCTGGACTTGAGAGGGAAGGGGGGTGAAGGGAGGTTAAGGAGGAGCAGCAAGGGGGTGGGGTGAAGAGGAGGTGACGGAGAGGATGGAACTGTGGGGAAGGGCGGCAGAGGTGGAGGAAGGGGCGGTGGACCTGAGGTCACCTGAGGACAGACACTGCAGCGATGTCCATTGGCCCCTCTGTGCTCCAACAGAAAAAATGGGGTCTGGGAGCCATGGAAGCCGCAGCGCCGAGGGGTTGGGAGAACGGGTTTGTTCCCTTCTCTCTTCTTTCTTCCAGCCGGATGCAGAAGACTCAGAACTTCATTTGAGGCCTAGGCCCCATCGCAGCCTGCCAACGGTGTCTTGTCTCCTCTGCCGAGGCCTGTGGACCAGACGAATGTAGTGCAGCCAGTGCCTCCAGCCTCGGCCCTACTCTTCCGTAGCTGGCCACTGTTTCTCTCCCTCTATTCCTGAGCCAAAAGTAGAGCCTGCTCTCCCCTATTCAGACACTCAAACGCACCATTCGTTTTCCCAGCTTCCTTCCCCCCAAGCCCCCTTCTCCGACTGTTGTGCAGTCTCTCCAGAGTCCGCTTGGATCTAAGGGCGGAGCACAGAACCAGCCCCGCCTGGCACGGATGGTGGGGCTGGTGTGTGGGAATACACAGCGCAGTTTACAAGTCAGGGTCCTGGGACTGAACCGAGTGGGGACTTGTGTAGATCACACGGCCTTCCAGGGGCAGATGTAGACCCCAAAGCTTCTGAACCCTGCTTGAACTCCCCCTGCTGCCGGCTTCTTACTTGGTGTCGGCAAGACCAGACTCACGCTCGCACCAACACACACCCGGGCCACATACCCTTCAGTTAGCCACACCCTCGCCCACGGTTAATCTATAAGCCAGCTTAATGTCCTCGGTATTCAACCCTTACAGAAACCTTACATGTGGGCAAGTAAAATGGCTCAGCAGCAAAAGCTCTCACTGCCCAGCCTGAGACCCGAGTTCAATCCCTGAGGATGGAAGGAAAGACCTGACTCTCAAAAGTTGTCCTCCACTCCTGTGCCATGGCCCTAATGGACACACACACACACACACACAGAGAGAGAGAGAGAGAGAGAGACAGAGACAGAGACAGAGAGAGAGATCCTACGAGCTGGCAGAGATGACCAAGAAATGACCAGTCATCTCCAATAAAATGTAACAAAGGTTGAACAACTACCCAAGGGTACACAGTTAACCGTGTGGATGTCAGGACTAACCCAGGCCTCCGGATCCCTGGAGCCACTATCTGTAACACAGTGAATGCCAGGCAGATCTCTGGAGCTAGCCACAGGCACCAGTATGCTCTTCGGAAGCACAGGGGCACGCACCCGCAGGACGCCCTGTGTCCAGTCAGCGGGAGGATGGAGGAGTGATCCTTGTTTGGAATCCCTCCTTGACCACTGCTGTTTGTGGATTCCTTTACCCAAGGACCAAACTCCAGTTCTCTCAGAGCAAGGCTGAGAGACATGTGCAGACCTGCCACTCACTGAGTGCGAGCCCGAAAGTGAGCTGTGTTGGGGTCCTTAGAGAAGACCCTTGGGGAAGGAGACTGCGCCTTCCGCCTTTGCCACACACCGGGGGAAGCAGGGCTGTAAGCATTCTCCCTGCCAGTCTCGGTCTGTTTCTCTCAGAGTCTCGGCCTCCTAGTCTCTCTCAGCTTCCTGCCATAGCACCTCCTTTCTCCCCTCCCAACACATTCCTTCATCCCCCTCTTTTCTCTCCAGATGACCTCTTCCAGAAAGACCCCTCCCCCTCCCCCCAGGCTCCTCATTGCTTACTTTTTATTTGCGTTCACTCCCCACTCCTGCTTCCTCAGCTAACAAAAAAATAAAGACTAAGTAAAATGCACTGTGCGTGTGTGGTGGGGGCATGAACTTCTCTGGGGGCTTTAGCTGATAGGCCTGATCCAGGAAGAAGATGAAGTTGCCCAGAGAAGAAAAAATGCCCTGGAGGATGATTTCCCACCTCCTCTTCGCACCGTGGGTGACCCTGTAGTTAACCGAGAGACTGTGGGTGATGGGTGCTTCCCTGCAGTCTGTGTATGGGAGAAGAAAGGACTGTGAGAAACTGCAATGTGTGTGACAGTTGTGTGTGTCCCCACCGTAAGTGTATGCTTGTGTTCTGGAAGCTGTACACAGGTGCACCAAGAGCCCACATCCTTTCTGTTCCAACTTCACAAGCGGTCTTCGCTTGTATCACGAGCACCTTCCAGCAGGCCTTCAGGTGGCGCCCCTCAAGAGCAGGCAGCCTTCACAAGGATGCTCACAGTGACACACGGTGGCAAACGTTTCCTCCTCCCGAACAGCTAGCTCCTCAGTCCCCAACAACACCAGCTGCCTCTTCGGGACGGGGTGGGGGCAGGACACCAACCGCTTCACCAATGAAGCCCGCTCCCCGCCGTCCTCCTCGCTCCCTCCCTCGCCGCGCCTTCCTTGCCCCTCCTCCTCTAAGTCACCGCCGTCCAGTGTCCCCGCCCCACCCTCGCCACCCCCGACCCCAACCAAGACCGGCCAGCGGCTCCCTAACCCCGGCCTCGCGGGCGAATGACCCCAGGAGACAGGGACCTCGAGGGGCCGCAAGCTAGGGCGCCGCGGGCTGAGCCTGAGAGGCCGGGCTGGGGGGGGGGGGGGGGGGGGAGGCCAGGAGGGAGGGAGCGAAGGAAGGAGGAGGGCTGGCGAGCTGGAGCCGGCGGGCGGCGGGAGCCCGCGCGAGCCTCGTCGGGAGTAGTCTCCACGGCGGAGCGGGGCGCAGCCAGAGGTAAGAGGACCCCTGCCCGGTCCCCCGCGTGTCTCCGCTCCCCCACCCCGCCCAGCCAGCAGCCTCCGCTTCACTCCTCCCCACCCCCTCCTCCCCAGCCACCTGCTGTTTCTGCTCCGGAGAACACCCTAGGTGACAGGAGGGAGGAGCCACCTGACCTTATCTCATCAAGGCGAAGGGCGAGGGACCCCTGTCGGCCAGGAAGCCCCCAATAGTCCTCCTCCCCTCCCCGGATCTCTCTCTGTCCTTCATCTCCTTCCCTCTGTCCTTCACGTCTTTCTTCTTCCCTCCCTCTCTGACTCTCCCTCTCTCTCCCTCTGACTTTCCCTCCCACCAACTGGTCATGGGGGTGAAGGGTGAGCAGCGGGCAGGGGTCCGAAGACTGTAGGGGAGGGCAGTAGGGGGCATCCGGAACAATTCCTCACACCTCCCCCTGGCTGTCCATTGCCATGGCAACTAGGATGTACTGGGCTGGGGGGGAGACAAAGGTGGGGGTTGGACTAGGACCTCTTGGGGAGAGCTAGGGCCTAAGGTCTTCCTCAGGAGACAGAAGGGTGCACAGCTGTGCCCCACTCGCCCCCGTTTGCCCCGAGGCCATTACGCCGGTCCTTACAGCCTTTACTCCATCAGCAGTTGACTCGATTTCCTAGTGTCTTCCCCAGATCTCATTGAACCGTGTCACTGAGATCAAGACCCTTCTCCTCACTCCCATCAGAGGGAAACTGAGGCTCTGGCCCAGAGGAGGAGACCCAAGGTCTCCTGGTGAGGCCAGCCGGCTCTCTGTTCGTCTGTGCCTACCTCCATAGTCCTCCTCCCCACTCCCCTGCCTCCAGCATCTCCTCCCCAGGGGTTTCTGAACCTTCCCTTCTATTTTCAGACACTACCACTTTCCCCTCTTTCTCTGCTGCCCAAACTCTCCTCCTTCTCCCTGGTTCCCCCTCTTTCCATTTCTGGATGCGTCTGATGTCAGTGGTTTCCCCGCCCTCAGGTTCCCTAGCTACCCCCCACTTCAATCCCAGCCTCCTTTCTCCCATCTTCCTTGGGGAGCGGAACGGGTGGAAATCCAGGCTTAGACTAGGGGTCGAGCACCGAGACCGCAGGGTCTGGGAGGATGGCATGTAAGAGGGCTTCTGCTTTAGCGTGAGCCCGCAAGAAGGAACACACCACACGTCTCCCCTTGGTAACTGAAGGAACACACCACACGTCTCCCCTTGGTAACTGAAGGGAGATCTGGGGATGTGGACACGGTGGGTAGTTCTGGGTACAGGCTATTCTAGGAAGGAACTTTGGAATTCCAAAGCAGGGAGAAAGGGCTAAAAAGGATGGAAACAGGGAGACTTTTCCCATGTAGTCTGCGAGTATAGGAAGTCTTATCTGTGTGGTAAGTAGGCACCTGCTTTACTGCAGGAGAATGCTCTGGATGGCCCCAGTGACCCTCAGCAATCAGTCATTTCTGTAGTTCCTAGAGAAAGGTGCATGTGAACTAGAGTACAGCACAGACCTAATTGTTCTCTCCTCTTACCTCACAGCTTGTCCAGGTGACCGAGCTCCACCCCGCACTGACTGGTCAAGATTCATTGGAGAAAGAGACCTGGAGGTCCCAGCTTCATAGATGGGAGAGCAGCAAGCTTGCTTCCCTCATCAATTACAGGGATAATTAAGAAAAGGCCCCACCCAGTATGGAAGCTGAAGACCACCACCTCTATTGAGTCTCTGCCCTCCCCTGCCCTGCCCACTGGGCCTTAGCTGGGTCGGTCATGTAATGCTGAGCAGTAAGGAAGACTTGGGGCCATCTTGCCTGGCCACAGGGCAAGAATTGTGGGCATCATGGGGGTGTGTGTGAGTGGGGCTCCAGGGTGAGACCTAGCCCCCGCCCCCAGGCGCTCAAGGGGGTGGGGGTGGGGCTGAGGATAGGATGGCTCGGGGCGGGCTGGGAGCAGAAGAGGCCTCCCTCCGCTCAAACGCATTGTCCTGGCTGGCCTGTGGGCTCCTGGCCCTGCTGGCCAATGCCTGGATCATCCTCAGCATTTCAGCCAAACAGCAGAAGCACAAGCCACTGGAACTTCTGCTCTGCTTCCTGGCGGGAACACACATACTCATGGCGGCCGTGCCCCTGACCACTTTCGCTGTGGTGCAGCTGCGGCGCCAGGCTTCCTCCGACTACGACTGGAACGAGAGTATCTGCAAGGTCTTTGTGTCCACCTACTACACGCTGGCCCTGGCCACATGCTTCACAGTCGCCTCGCTCTCCTACCACCGCATGTGGATGGTGCGCTGGCCCGTCAACTACCGCCTCAGCAACGCCAAGAAGCAGGCACTGCACGCCGTCATGGGCATCTGGATGGTCAGCTTCATCCTTTCCACGCTGCCCTCCATAGGCTGGCATAACAACGGCGAGCGCTACTATGCCCGAGGCTGCCAGTTCATAGTCTCCAAGATCGGCCTTGGCTTTGGTGTTTGCTTCAGCCTCTTGCTTCTTGGGGGCATTGTCATGGGCTTGGTCTGTGTGGCTATCACTTTCTATCAGACGCTGTGGGCCCGGCCCCGAAGGGCTCGGCAGGCCCGGAAAGCCGGGGGCAGTGTGGGAGCCAAAGTGGGTGGTCTGGGGGGCTTGGGCACCCGGCCGGCTTTTGAGGTGCCGGCCATTGTGGTGGAGGATACTCGAGGGAAGCGGCGGTCCTCGCTGGATGGCTCCGAATCTGCCAAGACATCCTTGCAGGTCACCAACTTGGTCAGCGCTATCGTCTTTCTGTACGACTCTCTCACAGGGGTGCCCATCTTGGTGAGACTGAGGTCCCTCGACCCGTTCTTAATATGCAGGACCCTCCAGTTCCACCGGGCTCCATCTGTCGTCTTCATTGCTCTTTCCCCCGGCGTGTGCGGTTCCCGTCTCTATCATCCATCTCCAAGCTCGCGCTACTCCATCTCCAGCTCCACCCGCCTTTCTTCATTTCTAGTTCTATTCTCCAGCTCCCCCTTCTGTCCTGCCCCGCCAACGTTCAACCTGACGCCCAGCTGCCCTGAGGCGCTATCTAGTCCCTAACACCCTTTGGTGATCACAGCCTTTGAGCCCTCCTGAGTGGAGACCCCAGGTTCACCCCACCACACTATCCAGGCCTCATCCCTGGGTTTCCCTGAGTCTTAAGTTTCTTATAGTCTCAATCTCCCTCGCCCCCCCCCCGCCACTTTCTTTTTCTGTCTCTCTGTATGTCTGTTCTGTCTCCCCCGGCTCAAACCCCCAACTCCAGGGTTTCGTCTACAGCATTTCCTGACTTTCCTCGTTCAGCCCCCCCCCCTTACTCACGCCTCCTCCCTTTCGAATTTCTTGCATCAGGAGTGGGCACCAGGCTTAGATGGGGTCCGGGTTCTCACACCTGACCAGCCATTCCCTTCCCCCGGCCAGGTGGTGAGCTTCTTCTCCTTGAAGTCCGACTCAGCTCCGCCATGGATGGTGCTGGCTGTGCTGTGGTGTTCCATGGCACAGACACTGCTCTTGCCCTCCTTCATCTGGTCCTGTGAGCGCTACCGAGCAGATGTGCGCACAGTGTGGGAGCAGTGCGTGGCCATCATGTCCGAGGATGACGGCGATGACGGTCAGAGGAGGGATGGGGACTTGGATTTCCTGGACAGCTATCTTCAGTCCTTTCTGCTGCCCTTCTCCTTGAGTGTGCTGCCCTGGGGCGCCCCCTGCTGGCCGGTGCTGGAACCAACTCCAGGCTCCCCGTAGCCTGACCGTGCACTGCGCCATGCCAGCCAGCCTTGCTTCCTTCTGCCCTGAGGGAGTTTTTCACTAGGCCTCTGTCCTCTCTAGAGGCCTACACCGCCCAGCTTTGTCTATACCAAACAGAGCTCCAGGGACAGGGTGCTTGGTCCTAATGCAAAGTGACATTAAAGGGAAGCCAAGCTTCCTGAGAGTCCCTGCTCTTGGGACAATTCTCGGAGAACAAGCAAAACAGTCTGGGTAAAGGACTAGGGACTCTGTGACTGGAGCACAGCTAGTCATTCCCTTGGTCCTCCCGGGGCTTACAGACTAACGGGAACCAAAAGTTCCTCCTGGGCCTCGTGAAGGGGATGGGGAGAGGGTGGGGTCT